GGCCTTCATTTCCTTGCAGCGCTCGCCCTGGCCATGGATCGCGACGGCTCCAGCGGGGGCGTGATCCGCCTGGCTGCCATCACCAAGGACGGGGTGGAGCGTAAGGTCATTCTGGGCAACGAACTGCCCCGTTTTTCCTCCGTCTGAGGTGGGGGGAAATGCTTGGAACGGCTTCCGTGAACGCTTGGAACGGCCTCCGTTGTTTCATGGGGACGGGAATGTGGGTTTTGTCGTCTTCGGGCTTTGTTTTTGGTGGGTATTAAAGGCAGAAAAATCTTCCTCGACTGTGTGGTGGTTCCTGCTTTCTCTTCCGGTGGTGGTCGAACGGGGGGGGGGGGGGCATGGTTTTCCTTCTCTGGGACAAAGACTGGGGCCGGTTTCACCCAAAACGCATCCAGGCCCGTTCGAAGGGGTGACAGGTTCCAAAAAAGGGGGCTTAACAGGGTCTGCCCGGTTCCCATTGAGGATATTTAACAAAATCAGAAATCTAGGGGGGGGGGGGGAGGGGGGGGGCCAAGTGGGCACTTCTTGCCTCCCCCCACCACCAGCAGAGGGTGGGGGCCCTATCTGCCCCCTCCCCAGTTGGGCTCTTCCTCCTCCTCCTCCTCTTCCTCCTTGAGCTGTGATTGAGATAAGAGGGGGGCACCAGCCCCTTGGGGTTCACGCAGCTCCACCCCGTTCTGGCAGAGACTAGGAGGAGAGGCCCAACTGTTTTGGGGAGGGGCCCGAGTGTTTTCCCCGCTTTCCCCCTGCAGCCAGGGGTGGGGTGGGGTGGGGTGCTGGCTCTGGGCCAGCCAGCCTTTTTCCTCGGCAGCTCCAACTAATTGCTGCTGCCCAAAGTCCCCCCCCCCATCATTCACCCCCACTTGGTCCAGACAACCTCTTGAGCTTGGTTTTTTTGGGGTGGGGGGGTGGGGTGGGGTGGCTGGCCTGGCCTTGCTTTCAGGAGGGCGTCAGTGCGGGGTCGGTCGCAGTAGAGAGAAAGAGAGAGGGGTCGGGGTGGTGTGCCGTTTATTCCCGGACAGAGGGAGGGGGAGCCTCTCGGTCCGACAATCAGCTGGTGGAGTCCCTCTCGGAGTCGAGCTGGTGGCGGAAGGAGAGGCGCGCTTTGCCCGTGAAGTACGCCCGGCCGCTCTGCGGGTCGCCCTCGCTGCTGGTGGACGGGGTGGACCGGGCTCGGCCTGCCGT